TCATTCTGATTAGTTAATAACCAACTTGACCCATTAGGTCAAAGGACGCTGCTGTAGGTCAAATCTGCAATTGCATCATGGCGGAAAGTGATTTTCATCGAGAGTTTGCGTACGATCCAACAACTTTGTCAGTGGAAATAATATGACAATTTTGACTTCGACTGTGTTCCAACAGACTCAAATGTTTTTAATTCCATAAATTATGGTGGTACGTAATTAATATTGTAATAAAATGTGCGTATTTTTTGTGATCATTTCTGTTTCTTCATTGTGAAAATCAATGACGCAACTAAGTTAGTAATTTGATTTTCTCTCAAAGACGTAATCTGTCACTTGATGAATCAAAATTTTCATTTGCACTCTTTTTCGAGGGGGGTGCTGGGTAAGCGCCCACCCCTACAAAATCGTGATTTTCTGAGTTGAGGCCCCTGGGCGCTAACGCGGTCGAGTACGGTATATATGAATATAATAAAATGAAATATTATTCAAAAGAGACTGCATGTGTATTGGTTTGATTCTATGCAGTCTGTTTGTTGTGTGAATTAAACAAATGTTTACCATTGCAATTAGCTCAGCTATTAAATTATACTGACTTAACAAAAGTTTTTTATCTACTATGTCACTTACCACATCTGGGTATCTGATCACTTCTGTTTAGGTTCCCGTTGACGAAACAACATGTACAGAGTATCAACATAAACCAACCTGTGCGATATTACACAGAGGTCAACACATGCACGGTGCTTTGCCGATAACACATGGTGAAAGATACAACTTAATAATATGGATGAGATCATCTGAGACACGAAATAAAATGTGCCCAATGTGTGATATGAAACCAACACTTGTGAAGACTGTAGGCTATGGTGATGGTTTTACTAAACAGTCAGATGTCAGTCTGTGTTCACCACTTTGAATTGTAAAGTGCGTGGTGCACAGTGGGATAGCAGGTTCAATTGTGTGTGGACAGTGAAGAGATGTGCGTAGTCAGCTGCCAGGCTGTAGTGTTCATGTTGGGAGGAAGGTGTAAAGCCACCATGCTGTAACTTTACATAGAACCATGCTTTTATTATGATGAACACGACAATTGAGTGCATTTCTCTTTCAAATCAATATGTGTAGAAGCAAGCAACTGTACTAAGTTCCAGCATACCTGTGTACATAGAATCTTGAAATTTGTATAGAACACGACCAGAGAGAGCTCCTTGTGTTGAAACTGTATGATTGAAATACTCAAACAGTACATTGCAATCACTGCCCATAAAAGTTTTAGCCAAGAAGTTGTCTATCAATATTTTATCAGAATTTTAGAACAAAATTCAGTTTTCACCAAACAATTCCAAAATAAAAATCAAAGAATATTTAGAAAGTACTCCTGTGTGATGGTGGCATTGATTGAAGAAAATATTGAATTATTATACCAATTACTTAATTAATATGCAAGCATTTTCAACCCAAACTAATGAAGGTTGAGGATTAAATGGCAGGTTATCATGCAAACTATACATTTATTATTCACAGATTTCAACCAAAAATTAATTAAGTCCATAGATAATCCCAGGGCACATATGTGTAATGTTTTGTTGAAATGTGTTGAGTGGTTCTTGAAGGTAATTAATATTTCTGAAAAAAATTAAACCGAAACATTTAAACTTTTTTTTGGTGTGGCCCAAGGGAAGAAAGTGAGCAAAACCAAGTCTAGCTGAAACTAAATATGGAAACCACATGATTGTATCGTGTCTGTTTACTCCTGGGAAAACTATCTTTAATGAAGCATTAAAGAATATTTTGACTGTTTCATAATATTGAATGTTGACATCAAAAACTTCTGGTAGTATCCTATCTTTGTCTTTTTACCGTGACGTACACTTAAGGTAGTAGCCTAGTTACAGTTTTTGAAGAAAAAAAAATCATAAACCTATTGTAGAAGCAATATAATACTGCCAAAATGGCCACTATCCACTAAAATACAACCATAATTTTCTTGAAAATTGAGCTGGTGACCCCCCCCCCCCCCAACTGGTTCCCAGGAGTTTAATTTATTTGAAAATGAATAAATTCTGGGTATTTGTATTAATGAGTAGGCTTCTACCTTAATAAAATTCAAGACAAAAATTCCAATGTGCCATATTTTATTGCAAGAAATGATTTCAAATACGTGTAAGCATTTTTACATATAATGTACAGAAATAATAAATTATAAAATTTTATATTTACAAATTCTGAATTAAAACGCTTTGAGTTTACCGATCATTTTATAGGTGTGACTGACCCAATACTGTATTGTAGAAATGTACATGACATCAACAGAATACATGCATACAGGCCTTAAACAGTATTCATTACCCAGCCTCTACCCCAATATGATCAAGTCGTGTGCAATACAGTGATTATAAGTAGATATCAAAATATTTCAACATTGTCAATTTCTATGAATAACAAGTCATTGAAAATGACACAGTCCCCGTTAAGTTCTCTTTGTGCTCGTCATATTAAAGCGAAGGGGTTGTCACGAGCGTGTCCTTGAAACTTGAGTTCCAAGTGGCGTATACAACAGATTGTTTATTTACATCAAAACACGTGTTTCGTGTCATAGTAATATGGCCAAAATAAAAACAGCCGTTATTCAGCCATCTTTGATCCGATTATGAAACACACTGATATGTATGATGTTTGTGCCAAATACGAATGAAAATGGTACATAAATTGTGGAAATATAGTAGTAAGGCCAAAAAGTCAGATGGCTGTCAATCGGCCATCCTTGACCAGATTTTGAAACAAAATTGTCATGGACATGCATCCTAACATGTATAATCTATGTACCAAGTTTGAATGACAACTGACAAAGTATGTCCAAAATACAACATTTTCAAAAAACAAGATGGCTGCCAGTCGGCCATCTTTGATCCAATTGTGAAATAAATCATCATGGACATGTATCCTAACATGTATAATCTATGTACCAAGTTTGAATGAAAACTGACAAAGCATGTCCAAAATACAACATTTTCAAAAAACAAGATGGCTGCCAGTCGGCCATTTTGAATCGAATCGCTAAACCACTGCATGTGCATATGTCCCACATAAAGTACTAGGCACATGCAAAGAATGAACGGAATCGGCCCAAGGGACTTTGAGATATGCCTTCGGACGGACGAACGGAGACCGAATTATAAGTTCCCGTTTTCGAACTTCGTCCGAACAGGGACTAATTAAAACTGATGTAATGATAAGAACTAATGATGGAATTTAGCTGATGACCATATTTTGCGCTATTTTACCAAGGCAATAAATATCAGTTAATAATTGTGTAAAATGTTACAATTACTATGGTAATAGCGCATGCACTTTTGACTGAAAATGTCTGATGTTGGTATACTTAATCTGTAATTTGTTTCTAACTTCACTAGTGAATTTATAAACATTTTTGCAAATATTATCAGTTTTGCAACATTGTGCACTACTTGTACTCTTGGAGTCGCTGAAATAAAAATGTTATTTTTAATCTTTCTAAATCAGCATGGAAAACTAAGCAACGAATGAAATATCTGGATGCATTAAAATTTGCCAAATGTTCATACACTTCTGTAATTGGTTTCTAACCTTTCTAGTGAATTACCGGTAATAAATATTGTCCTGATATCAATTTTTCAACATTGTAGCAAGCGAACTACTGGTAAGTTGTACAAATGTATCATGTAAATTATGTGTATGCATACGTGTACTTGGCTTAACAATACGATTTATGTACATAATCTTATTCATAGCAATACGATTTATGTACATAATCTTATCCATAGCTATACGATTTATGTACATAATCTTATCCATAGCAATACGATTTATGTACATCTAAGTCCTTCTGTGTTGTATACATTTTATCACATGCGGAGCAGACAAACATGTCAACTGGAGTGTAACGTTCTGTCTGTTCCGTCGGTTTCTTCCCAGCCAAAGCAGACATCCATCCACCCTGTCGGGATTTCGGTTTACTTGTAGAATGCGAATCTCTGCCACCCTTTGCACTCCCTTCTCTGGAACCTGAAACAAAATACCAAGGTTATGTACTAGTACCTGACTTTCATATAAACATCTTTCATATAATTCATGTCAAGTGATGAGGTGTTCTGCAAAGTATACAGAGTTCAGAACAACAATAAGGTTTTGATCTGAAAAGAGTCGTCAATAAAAGAGTTTTCATTTTCAAACTACTAAACATGACTGTCACTCTAAATGACATTGCTTCCACCATTTTTTGAACTACAGAGATGCTGCATTGCTAGATGGCGCTATACTTACACTGAATATTATTCACATGACAAACGACAAAGAAGTCAAAACTTTAGAATTACACTTACAGCAAGCGTGAAATGTTTACATACACTCGACTCTCGCACCTGATAGACAATTACCGAGTGACATCCCCAGTCACATTTCTAGACACTTTAGTGACTGTTGTAGACGCAATAATGATTACATACACGCAAAACCCGCCTACGTGACAGTAAATCAAAACAACAGACCCAGGTTTTGGATCGTTGGTCAAACTTTACATTGTTGACTATTAAAATCTATACATCATATGGACGAAGACACTCGAAAGGAGATTATTCGCCTCTTCTTGGTAGGAAACAGTTTGCAATCACCAAGGAACTTTGGCTAGCAAGGGCAACGGTGCAAGGGCTCGGCTCAGAGATTCTGTGACATTTACGTTGCAACGGTTGGATACATTCCAGCAAGAATAGAGGCCCATGTCAACATTACCTTTAAATAAGCGTTCAAATTCACTGTATGTTGTCATGCATTCAGAACATTGCTGTAAAACACAAGATCTGAAGGACAATTGAAACTGGTACCTGATGGCAGTATAGTGGTGAAACTAAAAGTGAAATATTCCAGGGAAAGATTGACTGGGGCAATGGGACCTCCCATTATATAGGAAAATGAGAATATGACATTCACTGTGCTATTACATGTATTAGTACCGGTAATATAAGCTCAACAACACTAGCAATCCATGGAATTTACAATTTAATATCATTTTATGTTCATATTACATTTGTTTTTCAAAGTGTTACAGCAATGTTCTATGTACCTACAAAAGCAATGGGTCCCATGTGACTACATCAAAAGCATACTACATCTGGTTTTATTGATAATCAGTTAATTAAGTTCTCAGGAAAGTGTCTGGGGATGTTGCAAAGCCACTAAAGTAACTGCCTAACTGCCCAGATGCTGGGGTTAGGTGTATGCAACTATTTTGTGTCTACTGTAAAAAACATTAGCACAGTATGTCACACCACATTCACAGAGTATTTACCTGGAATGTCTATTCTGAGTGAAAGATTGGACTGTACGTCTTCAAAGTTAGCTTTACCACTTCTAGGCCTTGTGGCACGAGTCTTGTTATCACCACCCTGCAATGTTTTAACAAAAGAATCAACACGTGTAGTATAGACACAGAAAAATGCATGCTTCAACATTTAAAAAAAATAGTTGCTAGAATTAACATATTTTCTGTATCATGAACATATATTCCAGATATAAAAATATTTCTGCAACAAAATACACTTAGATATACAAGCATGGGTATTATTTTAACTTACCTTAGTTGGAATAGAACCAGCACTCTTTAGTTTTAAGTAGGCACTGAGACTTGTATTACCCTGAGCTGCAAGTTTTGCTACATTCACACTGGTTGGTGGCATATTCCTCTCTCCTGTCAATTAAGATTTTAGCATGATTGAATATTCATATCTAATCTGATTAAAATAAAAAATATTGTTTTGATTTTTAATATTTCCAATTCTTAAATTATGTATTTGTCATGAATTATGCTAGCCGTACATAGATCTGACCAACTCCCAATGTCCAATCAGAATGTGTGTTTTATCATATATAGTCTGGAAGTAAGGTATTCTCTGATTGGCTGATTAATTTACTTGAAATGATCCTGCAAACAAGGTCTCCTATTGGTTACACACTCGCATACATCAACTCCATCAATAGTTAAGACAATACAAAAAGCTTGTAAAATACGTATTATTTTTATCAGTTTCATACTACACATATAGAATGGAATGTACATAATGAAATATGCAGATACATGTATGATGTATACATACACCATTATCATTATCGTCAATGACTACATATCTCATATACATTTGACTGCACTTACCTTTTCTTGTCTTTGCTGAGCTGATATTTCTGTGTACGGGAGGTTTATCAGCAAATCGATCATCATCAGTTGGGCTATTCTTTGATGGTCTAGTGTATCCAGTGTCACTTTGCAACTCAGGGTTGGAGTGAGAGGCACCAATTGAAAAGCCATCATTGGGGGCGTGTCTACAGAGAGAGAGCGAAAACAGATTGGTACTCAGATCCAGCAAACTTGAGGTATCAGAATTTAAAACAACGTCACTCTAATATTTTACTTACTGAAATGTGTAGAGATCTCTTTGCTGTTCAGACTGTGAATGTGCCGACCAATGTTTTTGTGATTTCTGTTGTTGATTTCTTTCTTGATAGCCGTTATTTTCTTGTTGTGTATCGCCCCTCTTCCATAATGGTACTGGTCCTGAGCTCTAAATAAAACAATGACATGTGTCTGTCAGTATGAATGTGAATCTAATGTTTTGCATTGATTTATCAGTATTTAATCTGTCTCCCTCAATCCATGCAAATTTTCAATAGTCGCAATACATGTGTATGCATATAAATCTTTAACCAGTGTCACAAGTGGTCATAATTTGATAATTTTAGTATTTTCCAGAAAAGTGCCTGTGAGATGGACAATGTGGGTCCTGTTGCCCAAAACTGATATTTGTAAAAAAAAAAAAAAAAAATATAATAAATAATATAGATAATCATATTTGAGTAAAATTGAAAAGATTCCTGAGTTGTAGCCTTCTTGATGTAGTTGACTTTTCCTGATGTAGTGATACTGCATCAGAATATACCAGAAAAAGATAGGAACCCATACAGTATCCTTCACAAGGAAGATTACAATCTATATATTGTCCAAAAACATATCCAATTACTGACACACCTTAGTCTGTAGTTTTGTTTATGTCATGGGTAAATTGATTTTTAAATAATTACTATTACTACTAATGTGTACTTGTGGTATGTACGGCAATCACAGAGTCTGTCATTGCAATCTAACTGCATACAACATGGACTCAGAAAATTTGTTGCTTATTTCTCTCACCATAAACAAATAGAAAACTAAAACTATCATGTCTGTACTGTACAGCAAATTATATCCCATGGTGATATCATCAAAGTATAAAGGTATGCAAATATATGCAAATGTATGCAAATGAACAGTCTCGTTGTGAAATGCATTAAATAAATAATTAGACATTAACTTTAAAACTCAATTGTTGCACAAAAATATGTATATAGTGCTCAGAAATAAAAACTATAATAATATTCATAATCCAAGTGTTTCATAGATACTTTAAGGCAGGAATATCATCAAAATAATTAAATATTTGCAGATAAATACTGTCAGTGGTAAATTAAAAAAATATACCTGAAATGTTTGATGTTTTGCTGGCTTATCTAGTCGAAGCTTATCAACAGTCTGTCGCAGTGACTCGTTGTGTTCTTGCATAATCTGTATTCGGATGTTATTGGCCTGTATCTGTCGTGCCATATCAGTAGCAATGTCACCAGTAGCTGGAGGTGGAGGTGGGAGAATATGTCAGAATATGGTTGCCATGGTATTCAATATTCAGCAGATAGGGTATGAAAAGCATATTTCGAAATTGTCAAAGGGTCTTCCTTTGTTGACAGGTTCTTGTTAGCAGTTTATCTAACAGACTGACTGCCTTGGCTTTGAACTTAACCAAACATATTGCATTGGAGTTGCTGAAGAGACATTTCTAGGAGAAGCATATCAAGAAAAAAAAAAACTCCCGAACCAAGAATTGAAACATAGGTCCTTCTATTTGAGTTGCCAGTGCATCATGGGATATGTAATTTGAATGACCTGCCCATTGTTTACTATTTTTACAAATGTTACAGGAGATGTTAATCCTGTCTACTAAGATACATTGTATTACACACGCAATATCATAAAATATTCATCGCATATCATTATATCCATATATATCAAAGACAATGTTAATGTTGACCATTTTTAACATTTTTTTAAATTAAGTAATGAACACACTAAACTAAACATTGATTATGAATTTTTTATTTTAGTTAATATATTTTGTTTTACTTTCTGCCTTTTTCTAGTTGGTAGGTCTGATTGATGCGAGGGTAGTGTAAAGCTTTATCTGAGAAATGTTAAAGGCCCAATTCACTTGCCTGGGGCAAGTGTGAATTGGAGGTGTGGCTATGCTAATGAGTGTTGTTAATCACTTGCATAGCCTATGACGCACCCTGTTTCAGCAGTACAATATCACGTGACTTTGATTGACAGTAGTTAATTATTCAAGATTAGTAGAGCGTCCCTTTCCCCGGTTCGTGTTTTTGACTTTTATTCCCCAAAATCTCAGCTCGTACACTATTTATTGCCATAAATACTACACACAGTCACTGCTGTGATATTCAGTCACATGCATCCACTTTGGTATGACATAATCGACCTGCAAGTTCGAGAAAACATGTTTTTACCGGAGCTGGAGCTGCCTACTACAGCGTGACAAGCGAGGCAATAGTCCCTATTGTTTAGGAACGTATTTATACATGTAGTATACCTGGGGCTTTAAGGATGTTATAAAAATAACACCAGTTAATAACCCACTATGTGCAATGTCATATTAACCTTTTCATCACCAGTTCCCGCTTTTAATCACACCATATTCCTGTTTATAATCTGCACTTTCCTTCAAAAGATTAGAACAAAAATAGCCAATTTTTTTGAGTAAAAACTGAAAATTGACTCAAATTTTGTTTGTTGGCTCTAAAATTAGGGTTCATTTCCAGAAATATTGAAGAATATAAGAAAAAAATGCAGAAAAATTTAGGCGAGAATGTCTGGTGGTGAAAGGGTTAAGTTGAATGAAACAGTCCAGGTATGTTTGAAAACAGTTGATGACATGTTGAAATTTGGTTATTTCGAGTTTTTTAAAATTTACAGAATGATGCAAACCATTATGTCTTGCCATGTACCAAAGCTTGAAAAATCAGTGAAAGCATGACATTAAAAAGCTCACTTTCTGGCATGGCTTCTGGTGGCAATGATGACACATTCAGATCCGGATACTGGACAAGTTGGATTTCACGTTCTTTGCTTTCTTGTAATTCATCCTCCATCTTCAATATCATGCTTTGTAAGTCATGTATCGATGTTTCAATAGATTTCTTATCCTCTGCAATCTGTGCCATCAACTCCTATAAAATCAATTTAAATACAGTAAAAACATTTATGGTTATGATCTCAATATAGTATTTGTTCTATAAGAAGTGCATCTCCAATAGAAACACACATAAATCGAAAATTGCATTGGCTGTATACTAAATCATTAAAATATTACTCATTTTGGCCAAAGACAAATCTCTGTAATTTAAGCAAGCGGATGCACTACTTATAGAGCAAATATGGTAAACTTGAATGTACACAAAAATCAGCTTATTGTTTTTTTACATTTTCATGCATTTTAAAATTTACTGAGTAGCGAAAATTAGATACTGAAAAAGAAGTCAAAATTACACTCATTCAGGGCAAGTCTCAATCATTGCACCTAACAATCAGCCGTCTGAAGCAATAAACACTGGAAATAAAACCAACCTTTTCTTCCTGTAGCTCTCTTTGTAACCTCTTTACTTCCTTTCTAGTACTTTCCAACTCCTCTTTCTCATCTTCCATTTCAATGACTCTGCCTTTCAACTCTTCACATTCCTGGTCCAGTTCATCTACTCTCTGCAGCAATGACTCGTGTTTACTCTGCACCGCCTGCATCAAATGACAACAAATCAATTAAATTGATGTATACAGTGCAGTGAACACAAGATATAGCACACAATAATGCAGTGAAACTAAACACTGACAAAAGACCTGACATTATATTGAAGAAAGTCTAGGGAGAAGGGAACAGTGAAAAATATATGAAGACAAGTTTATATTCAGGTTTTACTGAATCTACCATATTATCAGCGTGAGAAAGACTACATGCAAAAATCTGCAAAATTGTTCAATATTCAACCATATACATACACAGAAGACTGTGCTATTGAATACATGTTTTAAAAATGAAATTGCAGAAAACTGAAAACTCCAGGGACATCAATTTATAGGCACTACATGTAAGCATAATCCCTAAAGTTCAAACATCCTGGCACTGTCTGGGGCAGGGACCAACATCAATGAGAATTTCTCAACAACTGTTTTGCATAAAAATTGTGTGCTGTTGTTAATCCACTTCAGCATGACAAAAATTGAGATATAATAATATTGGAAATTATTGCTGTTATATTGAACAACAATACATCAACAAATGTCGAGATATTTGACCTTTAGCGTCATACAGAAGGTAAATTCATACCTGATCATGTTTTGAAATGCTTCTACTTTTAGCCTGTTCTTTACTCAGCTCTTTGGTTGTTGACTCTAGTTTCATCTGCGTTGTTTGCAGTTCTGACTTCATTTCTTGGACTGATTTTTCCAGCTTGCCAACCCTCGATGCAACAAGGGATTTCTCATCCAGGTCTTTGACAAGTGATTTGTTGGTTGTTTCTAATGACAAAACATGTTGAAACGTCAACCTGAACTAAATCAGTGATTTTATTGTTTCAGTTTTAATCAGTAAAAATAAGGTATAAGAATTTAAGTGTATGAAGTACATATATTATTATTACCAGGAATAAAAGATATCCAATACTACTCGTGTAGTAATTTTCATATGTTCCTCACCAAAAAGCTCGTAAAATTACTACACTTGTTTAATCAATATGACATTACACAAATGTTGATATCCTATTTATCACATGTATGCATTTCCAGCTGTTTTAACAGCATAAACTAATATTAGAAACAATATATTTTGTGTGCGTATTCTAAGCATCTATTCATTTGCATACAACAACGACCTCGAACTTGCAGTGCAGACAGTTTATCGACTGTGCTCAAACAAATAATTCATTTTTGAAACCATTGATGTATTTACATTTATACACATTGTAACTAAATTGTGGGCTAGTTCTCTCAGCAGTCTTCCCACAATTTACAGCAATAACAAATCTATTGCATTGTGACAAGGTTGGGAGAATTTCAAAAAAAAATATTTTGTCTAGCCATTAAACAAGCTATTTATGCTTGTGTGCAGGGGTCTCTGAGATTTGCCTCCCAGGAGATGTAATATGGAAAAATATTACATGGCTTTATATCACTACTACTGTATGATACATGTGATAAACATATCTAGACCACAGTCAGCTGGCGCACACGTGGTCATAAAATAAATACGATATTTACTATATGGGGGCCGCCATCTTGAATGCAGCGTAAAATGCAGTGTAAAACCAAAAATTGTCATTTAAGCTCAGCAGCCAATCAGCGACGGCCTTACAGTCAGATGACAATTTCGGTTTCAAATACCCCAGGAAAGTGTTCTATGTTCTTTGTGTAATTAGGTGTTCGTATTTAA